TCCGCACATGCTGTAGGGGGGGTGCGGCAGTAATCCGCCAGCTTGCATTTACTGGTGTGGTTTTCCACGGAGGTTCTCTCGCCAGGGCTGGGATGTTTTTCGGACGGTAGATACAGTGCTCGTTCCTTTCTATCCCACAGAAATTCAATGGAAAAACACGTCCCTGCTCAGGGCCTTAAGGCCTTAACTCGAACCATGATTCTGTGGGGTTTGTTTTTTTCTTCATGGAGGAACTAGGCCTTCTCATGACATGAGGTCAGAATGAGTAATCAGATGCTCTGTCCTTAAGGACGATTTTAAAGGGGCAGTTCACCCCAAAACTGAAAACAGATATGTTTTAATACTGATTGATACTTTATTGATTCTCGTGAGGAAATTCTCTTTACGCCTCCCCCCCTCACTTACTCTCGGTAGGTGAGAGCAAGCTGTCAGCGAAGGGCAGCCGCCCAGGGAGCTGGGGGTTAAGGGCCTTGCTCAAGGACCTGCAGACGTGCCGAGGCTCGAACCGGCGACCTCCTGCTCACCGACACAGAGGCTCAGACAGTGCTATCTGCTATCTCATTCTACTGGGAGTTGCTTAGTTTTGGAGATATCAGCCATTCAATGTAGGATTTTTTTTCCCTACCGAACACTACACACCAATTGAATCACTACGCAGATGATATCAGCACGAGCACCATGGTGATATCTTCTGCGCAGTGACAAGGTTTATGTGTGGAGAACCGGTAGAAGAAAATAGTTCCTACTAGGGATGGGCCAATCCACATTTTTTCAGTTCCGATCCGATTCAGATACACAGCTGCCGATACAGATTCCGATACAAGAGATGTTTTTACTTTATTATACTTTATATATAATATTAATTATATATAAGCTAGTAAATACAGATGGAAAAAAAGCATGACAAAAAATATTTCATCAGGCTACTACAAACATACATAACGTACTGTTCCACCTTGTTTGTACGTCTTGTTTTAAGCTTTTTTTGAGGCATTTGCAGTTCAATATTAATATCTTTAAAGCAAGTATACACAAGTGGCGAATGCTTAAAATTTGAATTTTTTTCTTCCATTGGCGTCAGCTCAGTTACACCTTGTTGCGATGGCAGCCCCTCTTGTATCACAAGCTGCAGCAAGTTCGCAAAACCAGGTTAGCGACTCCCAGATCATCCATTGCTTTTTTTTGTCTCACACAGTTGCGTGCGCTTTGTTAAGTGGCATTGTCCATTAAACGCTATTCCCACCTTTCAAAACTTTATTTTACAAAGATTGCAAATCGCTGTGCTACTGGTTTCTGTTAAAAGTGTAAAATACTCCCAGATCGTCACGTCTTATCTTACGCTCCTCGTACTGCGAAGGGTATGCGCATGACGTCACAGCAGGCGGACGTCACTGTACTCACACCCACTGAGTAGCAAAAAAGACTGAGGGGCAGCGATAGCGTTCGATTTGAATGTGTTGAAAAACACATGTAAAATGGGAAAGAGCTGTCGTGCGATTGATTGTACACATAGATTTAACACAAAATAGGAGCTGTCTTTTTAGAGATTGCCAAAAACTAAATAAGTAAGTATAGGACGTGGCTCGGTCACGCATGGCCGATACCCGATCTGTCAAATAGGTCTGGATCGGTGCCGATACCGATCCGAATATCGGTTCCTACAAAGTCTGTGGATTGTCATGAGTAACCAGGTCAAGATTTCTTGTAAGAGATGATGCTGTTGAGTTTTTTAAATGTATGGAAAAAATTAAGAGACCGCTCTATATTTTTAAACAAATCTGAATTTTTAAATCCTGGCTTAATCCTGGTTCTGCTGACAGAAGGCTATGCTGAGCAGCAGGCTGCTTCCAGGATCAGAGTTTCTAAGACAGCAGGACACAAGAACAAGGTGAAGCAGGAGACACTGGGAACGACCAGAAACCAGCCAGGTAAAGGACGGAAGCCACAGTCTAATGCCAGAGATGACTGTTAACTTATCCGGCAGCTTCTCATCAATCTGAGGATGACATCAAGTGACCTTCTAAAGGAATGGGAAACATTAAGTGCAGGTGTGAAGTGCACTGCTAGGACAGATTGTATCAGGCTCCTACAAGCAGGACTGAGGTCCCATAAAGCAAGGAAGGAGCCCTTCATTACTGAGAAACAGGGAAGAACCAGGCTGCAGTTTGCATAATATATATATATCATTATTCACAGATGAGAACCCATAAATTGAGAAATAAGTGAAACAAAAAAATTGTGCTGTGGTCTTAATTTTTTCTGTGGCTGTATTTTTCCGCCGCTTTAATCACCACAGAAATCATGCCATTCAGTCCCACTATATTCAAGAGAAGAACGACATTTCTGTGGCTGAATCTCCAAAACTAGGAAAGTCCCAGGAGAACAGCCTATATGGAGAGATACTATACCCCCTCCAAAACATATCTTTTTTCAGTTTTGGGGTACACTGCCCCTTTAAGGCTAAGAATGGCAGTGTTGGGGACAAGCCGGGTTAGTGAGGAAGCAGGGTGGTGGTGAGTGACACTACCCTGGCTCACCTGATGGGGGCCTCGCAGAAAGCGAGCCAGGAGGGGTTTCACAGAAGAGCCTCCCGGTAGTTTTTTCCATTACACTGGCGAGGGTGTGGAGCAGCGGTGACGCGCGGAGGTTTGGGTCCTGGTGTTGATCCCACCTTGGCAGTGATGGTCGTTGTGAAGGTGAACGCTGTGCGTTCATGAGTCTCGTAAAAAACGATGTTGGCCATGACGTGATTTACGCACCTCTTCTCAAAAGCGCTTTTCTGTCAAAAGACGTAAGACAAATCTATATGTGCAATTTCAGCAATTCATTCATTATTTACGAGGCCATTTTTCCTGTTAGCCCACAGAGATGTATGTCTCAGTTGATGTTTCCTTGCTTTAAGGTTACATGCATATACGTATATTTGCAGTTAAAAATTGAATCATCTTTGCCGTACACGTTTATATATTGCGTTTTGACCAGCACATTTACCCATACATAAATGCCATAGAGATATTTAAATTCCTGTATCAAGTTCCCTTGTATTGAGTAGTGCTCTGTTTACGTTTCACATGTTACTGGGTTGTCTGTTTTGTCATTAGGTATTACCGCAGAGCTCAGCTTGTTTTGGACATCATTTTATGGCCTGTCATGATTTCTGGGTTTACATGTTTCAACAAATTGCGGTTTGTGGATAAAATGACAATGTATTTATGAAAAGCTGCCAGTCTTATGCCATCAAAGCAGCGCATGGCTTCATAACAGTAAGCAGCCTTTCATATAAGCAGCACAACTGTAACATCTATGCTTTGACTTCCTGCTCTGACCAGCTCCTTCTTATATTGTCCCCTTAGATACCACAAGCTAAAACAGTTTGAGCTCCCACATCTCTCTGGAGGCAGTGTGACTTAATTTGAAGGTTGCTGGTTCAAATCCCACCGTCTGCAGAATGATGTCACCGATGGGCCCTTGAGCATCGTCCATAACCTCCAGTTGCTCCAGAGACTGCCTGACCCTGTCTTCTCCAAAGCAGACGTGGCTTTGGCTAAGAACGTTAGGCATAAATTTGACTGCGGTGGTAGATCGAGCAGCACTATCAAATCCTGATTTTGAGAGTTCTGCCTTAGCTGGGCTCTCTGAGCTGCCGGGTCGCTGGGTGTGATCTCCAGTGCTTGTCCAGTGTCATGACGCAGCTTCACCAGCAGCCTCAGAGCTGAGCCCGTCTCTGGGCAGACACACAAATATTTTACTCAAAGTGGGCTCTTCATCTCAAGGCTAAACCTCGCTTGGGCTCTGCGTTCCTGCATTTTGCAAACTTTCAGCTCACCTCGGCCATCCTGTCCGAGCCGCAGTTGTCATCTTCCTCGAGATGATCTGAGTGCGTCCTCTCAATGTAGCTCATTAACTGGCTCCGGCGCACCTGTGTTCCCCCGCCGTCACTCTCGCTAATTGCCCCAGGGCCTGTTTTGAGCCCTAAGCTCTCTGTGTGATATCTGTCAGGTCCCTTGTATAACAGTTTTTAATTAAATATCTGTATGTTATTCGACATGCCAGTACCCAGGAGGTTTAATTACGGTGGGGTTTACCGTCTTGTTTCGGCTGTCACTCAAGACGGTTTGGGGAAATAAGCACCTTGTTGTGAGCTTGCGAACGACGGGGCCAGACGGAGGCGCCGTCTGCTTCAGATGGACGTAAATTAGCTTTGCGAGAAGGAGACAAGAATTCAGAGACGTGTCGGGAGTCATGGAGGCTTCCAGTAACAGCGAGCGGGTATCCTGATGGTGGCTAATTCTCCCTGCATGTCGCCATGAGAATGAGATGACCTGCTCCACCCTTTCTTTCTTTGGGGCCAACATCCTCAGATTCTAATCCAGTCTTCTTTGCACTATAATGAAGGATTGTGTCCGGGAACTAAAATACCCTGCCATTTGGTCTTGAGTGCATATCATTAGTCTCCCAAGTAGTGCTGTGGGTCTTTAAAATAGCATGAGAAATCAGGGATTTTATTTATTACAAACACTGACAAGCTTGTTTCTCCTCAACAGGAAGCAGCCTTCAGTTATAAATAATGTTTAATATGCTGGTTTCAGTAACAATTTAGATTCCCTCGCATGAAGTCGATGTTCGAGAATCACGGTTGACATTTAACAGCGCACATAAAAAGTGGGTGTAATTTTCTAGTTGTGGAAAACTCCTCCATAACCAAGCCGAAGCAACGTAATGCTTTGGCTGCTGAATGGAACCGTGCTTTTGCTAATGGTATTCTTTATGGTCGGACCTCATGAGGTCCGAGGTTGGGCTCTGCGGGCTCCAGCCAGCCGTATCGTGAACTTTCCTCCCGTTTATAAACCGCACACCTGCCTACATAATCCTGTCAGTCTCTACACACTGATCATATGTTGGTGGGTGCATGCGATATTCAGGCAGGCTTAAGTGGTAACCCTATCCGAAGTTAATACGGCTGGACTGCTTAACTTTTTTTCCCCTCTGTCTTTCTATAGCCGTGCAATCAAAACGAACCAGGACCTGCTCCCAGAGACCCCCTGGATCAGCATCTTCTACAACGACTTCTGGGGGACCCTCCTCACCCACAGTGGCAGCCACAAGTCATACCGGCCCCTCTGCACACTCTCCTTCCGACTGAACTATGTCTTGGGAGGTTTGGATCCCTGGGGCTACCATTTGGTCAACGTGATGCTCCACTGCGTCGTCACCGGCCTCTTCGCCCGCCTCTGTCGCCCCCTGCTGGGCGGGGGCCTCTGGACACTGGTGGCCGGGTTGCTCTTTGCCTCGCACCCTGTACACACGGAAGCGGTGGCAGGCGTGGTGGGCCGGGCCGACGTGGGGGCAGCGCTGCTGTTCCTGCTGTCATTGCTGTGCTACGCTCGCCACTGCGCACTCAGGCTCGCCACAACGCGCTCCTGGGCCTGGTTCCTGGCCAGTCTGGCCTGTGCTGCCTTCAGCATGCTGTGGAAGGAGCAGGGTGTCACCGTGCTGGCCGTGGCCGCCCTCTACGATGTCTTCATCGTCCACCGTCTCAGCTTCCGGCAAATCATCACCCTCCTCTGCAAGGTAAACAATGTTTGGTTCATAATCTCTAATTTTCCTAATTCCCTTCTCCGCGGAACTGCCTCCAGAAATATATTTGTGCATTTTCACTTGTGTGTAAATTTGCATATGTGTTTCATTGGACTGTACAGATGCTTCTCGCTTTATGAAGGTTCGACTTAACAATGGTGTGATAGTGATGCACATTCAGTAGTCATCAAACTTTTAATTTTTATCTCTTGCCGGGCTAGTGATATGCCGTACGACACTCTCTGCTGATGCGAAGCGATAGCAGTGTCCACACAGCCACACTGTACGGTCTCTGCAGCGATTGCGAGCATAAACATCTCGTAGCGTTTTACACTGTATCGTATGGTGTTTTCTTCCTGTGTTTCATCAAATTTATGTCTGCTAACCACCCAAGTGTGTCTCCTAATTCTGGTGAGAAAAAAAGAGGAAAGCAATTACCTTGGAGACGAAACTTAAGATAATCACTCAGCATGAAGGCAGCAAGTCCGTACTGGCCGTATCATTATTTAGTTTCATATTTATCATATTCATATTTGACTTTCCTCACTGTAAGTCGAGGCACACCTGTGACCTCAAATGCATCTGTGGCATATGCCCAGCCTTATGGGGCTGGCTAAGCTTTTTTTACTCTGAATAATACAGAAAAGGTGGATGCGTTCGTATGTGTATATATGTACATATATATGCATATGTATATATTCATATGCAGAGGAACATGCAAGCTTGTGGTATGCAAATATATAAAACAGGGTATTATATATTAATTTGTTACTATATATTAATAACCAGTGGCCTGTAATGAAAACATCCAGGCTGTGAAGATTAATTGTCTGCTGCCTAATAACATGGCTGTATATTTTTAACGAGGAAATATTAAATGTGCCTCTTCTGGGTGTGGGTGTGTGTGTGTGTGTGTATGTGGATTATGTTTATATTACATTGTGGGGACCAAATGGCCAATGTGTTAAAAACCTGTTATTTTGACGTTGTGGGGACCATTTTTCAGGTCCACACAAAGATCTCTGAATGCAATCAAAAAGCTAAAAATGCCAAAAGTCTCATATTTTGTTCGGTTTCTTGTGGTTAAGGTTAGGGCTGGGTAGGGGTTAAGGTTGTCATGTTGTGATTATAGTTTCCCCCACGGAAATGAATGGAGAGTCCCTACAAAGATATAATTACAAACCTGTGTGTGTGTGTGTGTGTGTGTGTGTGTGTGATTTTAATCCGTGGTCAGCTGTCCTGGGCGCAGGCCAATCACATTCACCCATTTCTTATAAAAGGGGTGGGGCTTTTGCCAAGGGGTCATGCTCCATTGGACTCCGTCTGCCTCCCGCCCTGTGATTGATTCTTTTGCCTTTCAACCTGTCGGAAGGCCTGTCCTCCGGGGGGTGCACCACATGTGTTATGTGAGCAGACAGGCTTTTTATCAGCCTGTCGGCTGGGTATGAAGTGAGAGAGAGAGAGAGAGAGAGAGAGCAAGCGAGCAGAGGTGTGGTGGATGAAGCAGGTAATCCCTCATGTCTGACGGCCTCTGTGCTGACTGCACCTGACTGGCCAGCATCCCCTGCTGCCTCAATAGATCAGAAAGCAGAGAATAAACACGGACTCGTCAATTTTATTTTGCTGATTTATTTGCAGTTTATACCAACGCGTGTTTCTCTGCTCTGTCATTTATCTGGATCTTCACTGTAGCCAATTATCAAACACTCGTGTTTCTCATCGCCACCTTAAGGAGGCTTAAGTTCTGGAATGTTCCGCAGTAACTGGTCTGTGATGGCGTAAGAGAGAGTTTGATATTGGGGGTGACACCGCTTAATAATTTAAACGCAAAGGTCTGTTTACTAGGGGGATGATTGAAGCCAAATGAAATACCGGGTGGGGGGGGGGGGGGGGACGGCCCCCTTCCCTCTACTTCCTACGCCCCTGCCGGTCGGCTCCCATTTAGCCTGGAGCCTTGGGCCCGGCAAACTCCCGCGTGGAATGGAGGCTCCTCAAACGTTAAACAAAGCAGGTGGACATGGCCGGCGGCAGCCAGACTCTCAGCTGAAATACGACCCACGGATACGAGTCAGCGGCGAGGCTGGCTGTCTGAGGGAAGCAGCCATTAACACGTCGTCCTTCGGGGTGTGTGTCCCTACGAGTTTGAGGTATATATAACAGTGCCCCACCTCGCCGGCGGTGAAACGTGGCCCATTCACGCCGGGCGACGGCAGCCCTCGGCTTCCCTGTGAAAGTGCGTGCAGCTAACGGAGGAGGAGACGGGGCTAATTGGTTTTTGATTTAAAAAAACAATGTTATATGGGTGTTAAGAGAAACTGTCCAATCCCGTTAATGTCCAGATGTCCTTTTCCGCTCCAGATGTGTTGAAGTCGGCTGTTTTAAGAAACAAAATGGCATTGGAATCTGTGAGCCTTTGTTATGTGCGTATCGAACAGGGTGTCTGATTTATCGTAATGTTGCAGAAGGCGTGCTATAGTAATTAAGCCATCCTGATTGGCCTCTTTGTTTCACTGGTAACTGGGAAACAGTGTGTGTGTTGGGGGGGGGGGTTAAATAAAATATCAGAAGACTATTCAGCCGCTGTCAGTGCCCCCCCATGCAGGATGCTTTTGTCCCTTCAGAGTCCTGATGGATTTCCAGCGACTGACACAGTGGGTCACGGCCAGATCAGGCCCAGCTCCTCTGCTTATTCTGCTCTTAATAAAGCCTTGTTCAGTGGTTTCTCTGGGAGCCCGGATTCGCTTTTGGCCATGCTGTGCCCCTGCACTCGCTCGCTCCGAGTTGTACCTCCTCCATTCACGCCGGAGACTTTCGGGCACCTGGTCTCGCTGACCCCCGCAGGCGGGGTCACCTGACCACACCTTGCGCCATCGCGCTGGTGACGCTGCGTCCTGATCCTCCTTCAGAGAAGCTGCCAGGAGGCAGAAGAGCGAGTCTGTTTCCCGTTTTCTTTTTGTTCGTTTTTGGTTTTGCTTAAGTGTCCTCACTGCTCTGGTGTCAGCCGGTTCGCCGACTCCCGGCCGGGTGCCGCGCAGCCTGGCGCTTTCGTAAGGCTGGCTTTCTGTCTCAGGTCCTCTGCCAGGGCCCTCCCTGTTCTCAGAGACAGGCATGGGTATGTGTGTGTGTGCCCGTGTGCCAGTGTGCCCGTGTGCCAGTGTGCCCGTGTGCCAGTGTGTGTGTGTGTCCAAAATGTGATAAAAACCTGCCATTTTGATGTTGTTGGGAACATTTTATTTCAGTCCCCACAAGGGGAAATTCAGTTTAATAAAAATCTGTGACTCCAATCAAAATGATATTTTGTTTGGTTACTTATGGTTAAGGTTAGGGCTGGGTAGGGGTTAAGGTCGTCATGTTGGGATTATGGTTTTGCTCATAGAAATGGATGGAGAGTCCCCAGAAAGATATGAGTACAGGTCTGTGAGTATGTGTGTGTGTGTCTGTGTGTGAGAGTTTGTGTGTGTGTGTCTGTGTGGAATAGGTTTATATTACATTGTGGGGAGCATATTCCAGGTCCCCACAAAGATCTGTTAATTCAATCAAAAAAGTAAAAATGCCAAATTTTGTTTGGTTACTGGGTTAGGGCTGGTTAGAGCTGGGTAGGGTTAAGGTTGTTATATCGTGATTACAGATTTCCTCATTCAAATGAATGGAGAGTCCCCACAAAGATATAATTGCAAACCTGTGTGTGTGTGTGAATTTGGTGGAAATTGATGGACCACACAGTCAGCTTAAGTCAACTTTTTCCCTCCCTAACCTCTCTGTTTTGCTAATTCCCTTCTTCTTATCCCAGTGTAAAAAAGAGAATACGGGTACCTATGTCTCTGAGTACCCCCCCCCCCCAAATGGACGCTCCCTTCCAGATCCTCGCTTCAGTTTGGATAATTTGTCGGGGTGCCTATTCACATGCTAATGCTGCATTGATGCGAGCCAGCCACACATTCCCATCTCGCGGGGCACCGCTGACGCCCATCGTCGATTTGTGTTTTTATTACTCACTGTCAGCTGCGTCTGTCACAGACTGTGTTTCCCGATTCAGAGCGTGGCGGTCCGACACATTCACCAATCGCGCGGTGCTGAAAATCAGCTTTCTGTGCAGTGATAGCTATTTATAGACAACACTTTGTGTCGGCACTGAATAGATGATGGGACAGACAATAAGTACAATTAGGATTTTTTTAAACTGGCAGAGAATAACGTGTTTTTGATGATGGGCTCTGAAAGAATGTGGGGACAAATGTTTGGCATACGTTTCTAGAACATTCTATCTTGCCCTTAAATGGACATTCATTTTAAATAAGTTTTACTAATATTTCTGTGCCATCAGTTTGCCATTGTCATTGTCTGCTATATGTTGGTCACACTTTTTTTCTGCTCCATAGATGACTAGATATACATTGGCATGTTCTGTAATCGAGAAAACAAGTTTTTCTTTTTTAATCAATATTTAATAACTAATGCATATGGAGCCCTCAGCTGTTAAGCAGAATTAAGGATGGATGTACTAATGTAGATTCTTGGGACAAGTGTGCAGGATTTTCATTTTATTTTGCAAGTTTGTAACCTTACAGCTACGGTGAGTTTCCAAATAGCCGAGGGAGAGGTGTCTGAGGTCAGCCTGCTGTCTGTTGGCCTGTGGCCCCTCTTTCCGGAAAGTTCTTCTGAAGATGGCTGACTCCAGCATTCCCGGTGTGCGACGACGTAACTCATCTGACTCCGCTAAACATTTATTATGTTATGCTTTTGTTTAATTTGGCTCATTTGCTTTGACCTGCCACTGAGTGTCCATCAGCTGCATCACTGACAGTCTTGAGCTTCTAGAATCTTCTCCTCATGATCGCCGCTCTTTTCTGAGCAGTCACATTATGGCATGAAGTGAGTCTGGTTCAGTCCCGCGCAGTCCGGCGCAGTCCGGCGCAGTCCCGCGCAGTCCCACGCAGTCCAGCTCGTCTGCGGGTCCCAGAAGTGATGCTGACGATCAGGATGGGAATGACACT